ACGGATCCCAATGTCAAGCGCATGATGGAGAACCATCACCGCAACAACAAGAAGCACCAGCTCAACATTGCGCGCCGGACAGATAAGGGCGTCTCTGCTAGCCCCGCTCCAGCTGGCTTAGCACGTAAGATGCAAGGACGGGATTCAGAGCGTCCTTCTCATCGGGCAAACAGCAGCAGCGAGATTCGACGTCCTGATAGCCGGACTGAAGGCCGCCATCACGATAGGAAACGTGACGATCGCCCTAGAAACAGCGACCAGTACAGGCCCTCGGACTCCCGCAAGGACCATCGCAATGACCGCGACCGCGACAGCGTTGATCGTCGTGTGCACACCTCTGATCGGAACGGCACGCCAGAGAACCGCCGCAAGATCAGTGGCGACATTGATAGGCCGCGTATTAAGGATGATCGGCCTCGCCTTTCTGAAGACCGCCCGCGCTCTCATAGCCAGAGCCAAGTGCCTGACCGCAGCGTGGAAACACCCAAGCCCAAGGAGAAGAAGGCAGACGAGTTCCTTGAGCGCAAGCTCCGACCTGTTCGCGACAATCTCAGCCGCCTTAAAAAGGCGACGCCGAAGAACTACCCGCAGAAGGAAGGCATGCTCAAGATCCTCAAACAAGAGCTGGTTGCTATCGGCAACTTCATCCGTCAAAACACCAAACAGAATGAGGAGCTCGAGGATCGTCTATGGTAAGCACTCTCATCAACTTCTCACACACATATATTAATCGATGATAGGACTTTCACGATCAACCACCACTGGCCTCGGCCCGGTGTGACTGTCGCATCGGTCAAGGGCATGTACACTAAGATGGTCACCTCTGAAAGGCCAGCTGCGGCTGCGGCTCCGACGAACGGCCAGAACAACGGCGCCTGAGCACTTCTCCACGTACACACATTCACACACATGATGCTCACGCATCATTACACATTATCTACCATGGGCATATGGCGTTTTCGATTTCTTACGGTGGCACGCCGTCGAGTATATTTGCAGCATAGCGTAGGTGTTCGGCTCGGTTGGCTACTCGAGTTATGACTAGTTACGGGCACTGTTTGATTCTTCGTCTTTCTATTGTATTTGCATGGACAGCCCAATATCAGGGTGCGCCCCGGTGTTCATGACTTTCGCAGGGCGGCGCAAATAAAAATGAGCGTACAGGTTGTTGAAGAGCATGGCGGCACTTGGGATAGTGCGCTTTTACATTACAAGAATGGAAGGTGTCTCTGTGCAGAGAGTATCATTAGTAGCATGTAGATTCAGCGCTTGCGGTTGTGCAAGATGACAATGGACTACACACATCACGCTTTCGCTTCGCTGCATGATGATGGTGAGGTATTATTGTTGACTGCAGCCTTGGCTTCTTGAAGGATGAAATGTGATCACGCGAGTCATCTGCTGCCCAATCTTCATGTTCTACAACCCTACAAGCTGGTTACTGGGCTGTCTAGAGTATTCCAACGGCCCACACGTGGCTTGGAAGCCAAGCGGTGAGGGATATTCGGGGAGCTTCCAGCGGCAGGTTGATAATTCGCAGAGGCATTTGATGGAGCGCGAGGATTGTCGGTATTCTGAGGTCACGCGATCAGCAGCGTACGTTTGCTAGTGAGACAGCTGTGGCTGTGGGGAAGGGCATGTGTGTGTCTGGCTGGGGTTTGTGTGGGAGAGTGTCTAGTGCTCGGGCGATGACGCTCCAATGACAAGGGTCGCTGAAGGATCGTGCTCGCAGCGGTGGCTCCCTGTTGCGCCTTGCTTCCCCGGCGGGCGCCATCAGGGTGTCTTCGGCGCTTTTGCATGGTAGAGTCCTGTGCGAATATACAGTCGCGCGCCATCCACGAAGCCTGAGCAGATGCCTCGCTCCAACACTCTACCATGATACAGATGCTGCGCGTACGGGACGCAGCTCTATGCGGGCTGCTCTTTTGGGCACACGCGACCGCGGCCCCGCCTAACGCGGCTGGCGATGCAGCAAACAGCCGCGCTGCGGGTTCCCGATCCATAGACGCGGATGGGCGACGAAAGCTTACAGGCAGGTTCCTACATATTACGGGTACGTCGGCCATTTGATCCCTGGGGCTGATATCGCGACTAACGCCATGCCGCAGACTTTCACCCAGACCCTTTCTACAAGACATATTCGAGCACAGAAGCCGACGCTGCGTGCCATCGCAAACGCGGACCCGCTGGCCTCTATGGCGCAGAAACCACAGGATGCGACTCCCCTTTTGCGCTCGTCAACCAGACGTTCAAGTGGATTGAAGACAACATCAAGGACGATGTAGACTTTGTTATCTGGACCGGCGACTCGGCGCGACACGACAACGATGACGAAATCCCACGGACGCAGAAGCAGGTCGTGCAGCAGAACGAGTACATGGTCTCCAAATTCGCGGACGTCTTTGGACAGAGCGGCCACGGCCATGGGCCCAACAGCTTCGCGATACCCATAGTACCGACTTTCGGGAACAACGACATCTTGCCACACAACATCTTCACAAGCGGGCCAAATAGGTGGACGACGGAGTTTCTGGACATATGGCGCGGTTTCATACCCGAGGCGCAACGACATCAGTTTGCGCAAGGAGGCTGGTTTTCGGTCGAAGTGATTCCGGGGAAGCTGTCGGTCATCAGCTTAAATACAATGTAAGTGGCGGAGGAAAGCAGGTCTTGAGGGCAGGAACTAAGACGCGCAGGTACTTCTTCACCTCCAACTCCGCCGTCGATGGCTGCGCAAAGAAACGCGAGCCCGGCTACGAACACATGGAATGGCTGCGCATTCAGCTTGATATCCTGCGCGATCGCGGCATGAAGGCTATTCTCATCGGACACGTACCGCCTGCTCGCGTCGACAGCAAGGAGAGTTGGGACGAGACCTGTTGGCAGAAGTACACACTCTTTGGACGACAGTTCCGAGACGTCATTGTAGGAAGTCTTTTTGGGCACATGAACATCGATCACTTCATGCTGCAGGATTTCGAGCACATCGAAAAGGACACGGAGAATGGCAAGATGGGAGCTTTGGATGGCAGATCTGCTCTGGCTGGTGGAGTCCAGCTTTTGGAAGATGGCGAGGTGACGGTGGCATCTGCGTCGGATTATCTGCTTAATCTGCGGGAGGCTTGGGCTCAACTACCTGCGCCCCCGCCGAAATCGAACAAGAAGTCGCGCTCAAAGAATGTCGATGACGAGGAGGAAGAAGAGTCGATGTGGGAGTGGCTCATGGCTATGGTTTCGAAGCCGTCAAAAGACCGGAAGGAAGAGAGGAAGAAGTATCTCGAGAAGATTGGGGGGAGATACGCTGAACGTTACGCGGTAACACATGTCTCACCCAGCGTAGTACCGAACTACTTCCCCACCCTCCGCATCATCGAGTACAACATCACTGGCTTGGAACATCTCAGTGTAGCGTCGAGCCCAATCAGCCCACCCACCATCGAGACGCCAGCCGAACAACTCCCGATTACCCCCACGGATTACGACGAGTATGACAACCACGACGATACCGACGACGAAGACGTAGAAACCACGCGAAAGAAGCATAAGGGCAAGAAGGACAAAAAGAAGCCCCGAAAATACAAGTTCAAAGTCCCAGACGGCCCCTCGAAATCCTCTCCGCCCGGCCCAGCTTACTCCCCACAAACCCTCACCTGGACCCGCCACATCCAGTACTTCGCAAACCTCACACACATCAATAACGACTTCCTCGAGCCCTCGCCCGACACAGCCATCGACGACCGTCTTTCCATCAACAACGATGCTGTTCAGACGATATTCGGATTCGGTGTTAGTCCCGATGGTAGGATTGAGAACAAGAAGTGGAATGAGGGAAAGCACAAGAAACATCAGGGTAAGCAGCCGAGACCCGAACCGCATCCGAATGAGTTTGTGTTTGAGGTGGAATACGATACGAAGAAAGACCACGGGTTCAAGGATCTTACCGTGAGGAGGTGGGTGGAGTATGCAAGGAAGATAGGGGCGAGTAAGGGGAAGACTAAGGATGCTGAGTTGGAGTTTGGAGAAGAGGAGGCCGAACAAGAAGAGGAGGTTGAGATGGAAGAAAACACCGAAGAAGATGACTTCATCATCGTTAAACACAAGAAACACAAGCATAAAAAGGGAAAACACCACAAGAAACACAAGGCGTCCAAGGAATGGTACACTTTTGTTAAGCGCGCGTTTGTGGGCACTATGGATCCGAAGGAGCTTAAACTGGTGTTTGGGGCGGTAGAGGGGGATAATGGGTTGGAAGAGGTGGAGGAGGTTATGGAGTTGTAGGCGTCGTGAGCATAGATTGATGGATGCATGCATTCAAGCGGGCGGAATGGAGTGGAGTGGAGTATGTGCGCTGAGGCATGTTTGTTGATACCCTTTGGCGTTTTTTATGGTCGCCAGAACCTTTTCTTTACAGATGCTGAGGATGGATATGCGTATAGGGTGTGGCGTCGCATTGCATAGGGCTTGTCTGGCATGGCATCTGCGCGAGAATGATGTAGCATTAGGAGTTGAGACGCATACCACCATCAAGAAATAGAAGAATGAGAATCGCATACAAATTCTCTCCGTCTTGAGTATCACCACGTATTACCTCTCTCTCCTTTCCTTGCCTTTCCTCGGCGAGCGCGATCGCGATGAATAGTCGCTCTTGCGCCGTAGACGTAGTAGCTGCGCTTCGCATCTCGACGCAAAGAGACAAGTTTTCTATTTGGATTCCTCGCTAGATATACGAACCCCATCATGCAATTCACTTCCTTTGCTCGCGGCGTTTGATAGTGAACACTACAGGGCTGGTGGTAGCAGCTTGGCACTGGCGGCGGCGGACTGCCCCGCCAATTGACCGACGGAAGCTTCGAGTTTCAATGCGTTCATCTCAGACTTGCAACCAACCATAATCCTGTACCTACCAGAACACCTGTTCATAAGCTTACTACCAGGGAACGTACTACATTGTACCTAATACCCAGCCTGCGAGACCCTTCCAACACAGACATCACGCCGTCATGGTAAGTCTGCCCCACTTGCGCACGTAAACAACGGCTCACAGTCCCAGGCTTTCCAATCCAAGAAGCGCCTCGCGCTCGCCATCCTCGACTTCCTCCAGACCTCGCAGACCGACGGCTCCGTAGCGCCCGACGACGCCGAACAGCTCGAAGTCGCCGCCAACTGCATCGCCGAAGCTTTCAAGGTCGACGCTGCCGATGAGGCCGCAAAGAAGGACGCCATTGGCGACCAGAACCTGCTCGCAATCTACAACGTCTACGAGAAGCTCAAGGGAAAGACGACCGCCACAACTGAGGGATCGTCGTCGGCAAAGGAGGCCCGGCCAGCGACGCCGCAGACACCTGCCGCCGGGTCAGGACCAGGCGGGCCAAACAAGGATGAGGCCGAGCGACTGAAGGGGCTGGGTAACGAGGCGATGAAGAAGAAGGACTACGATGGTGCTGTCAAGCATTACACTGCCGCTCTCGAAGTCATTCCCCTCAACCCCATCTACCTCTCCAACCGCGCCGCCGCATACTCGGGCCAGGGCAAGCACGAACTCGCAAAGGAGGACGCGGAGATGGCAGTCGCTGCCGACCCCAACTACTCCAAGGCCTGGTCGCGTCTCGGTCTTGCTAAGTACGTTCTCGGCGACGCAAAGGGCGCTATGGAGGCATACAAGTCGGGCATGGACGCAGAGGGCGGCGGTTCAGAAGTCATGCGCAAGGGCTACGAGACAGCTAAGAAGAAGGTCGAAGAGGACGGTGGTGATGTCGGTGCTCCCGATGCTGCCCGAGGAGCTGGCGGTATGGGTGGCGGCGGTGGCATGCCTGATCTCTCTGCCCTTGCTGGTATGCTCGGTGGTGGCGGCGGAGGCGGCGGCGGCATGCCCGATCTCGCGGGCCTTATGCAGAACCCGATGATGAGGCAGATGGCTCAGAACCTGATGAGCAACCCGGACATGATGAGCAATCTCATGAACAACCCTAGGATAGCGGAGATGGCTCAACAGTTCGGTGGTGGTGGTGGCGGCGGAGGTCGAGGTGGCGGCGGTGGTGGAAGCGGAGGTGGAATGCCCAACATGCAGGATCTCATGAACGACCCTAACCTGGCTGAGATGTAAGTTGAAGATTTGCTCATTGACATGATTATGACTGACAAAATATCAGGGCCAGGAACTTCATGGGAGGCGGTGGTGCTGGCGCCGGTCGAGGTGCACCGCAATAAGATGCTACAAGTCGATTGCAATGAGTAGATGGTTGATGTAAGCATTGATCTTATGAAAGAGCAGTCTTCACGATTAGAAATATGATACCATGTTCAACTTCGTTTGTATTCATGGAGATCCCGTTCTGAGGTCGACGACCGTCTTGCATACAGCAAGATAAGCTGTGATATCGTGTATGTGATCAGAGCCTTGAGTGGCATCTAACCATGTACCATCCTGTCTCGTCTCTGTTCATGTGACCGCAGCCGTACGCTGCCATAGCCCTCTGATCCTCACTCAAACCTGCGACATCTCTCACCCGCTCAATCCAACTTCAACCCCCAAAGCCCATCCCCCAAATAATGCCCCGCCTCACAAGCCTGCCCCTTCTTAACCCTCTTCATCTCCTCCGTCCCCATCTTCAGCACCCCCACCATACACGCCGTCTCCTTTCCCTCCGCCTCAATAACCACCACCTCCCCTTCCTTCAGATCCTGCGCCCCATACACCTCTTTGTCCTCGTCACTTAACTCCGGGCCTGGTAAGCGGCCGCCGGGGGATGTTAGACCGGGTGCCATTAAGGTCGCGCCCGAGAGCACGAAGCGGATGGCGCCGCGGTCGATGCGTAGTCGGTGGAAGGCGAAGGGGTATTTGTGCACGAGGGTTAGGTGCGGGAGGAGGGCGTCGTCCATGTGTTGGAAGAAGAGGGGCGTGGAGTGCAGGGTGTAGAGGGATACGCGGTCGGGTCTGTGGTGGTGAGTGTTAGCTTTCATCCTCCTGTGCTTGCTTCCATAACGATGGTATGTGTGGTGGTGTGTATGGATAACGTGAATATGGCGCGACGTACAGCTTAACCAAATCTAATTGCTCCTTCTTCGGCAGTATATCCTCGATATACGGTTCTAATCTCGGGTATTCCTCCAGGACTTTTGAGCGGATGGCGCGTTGGGCGCTGGATTTGACCTTTGATTTTGCGCCCGAGGTTATGCTACGTTCTCGTTAGTTACATGTTTTTTGAAGGCGACGCGTAATTCAGCTTACTCTTTCTTGAACATGGTTGCGGTTGTGTGTGGGGAGTTGGGTTTGTATGCGACGGTGTTTAGTGTTGAGACTGCTGCTGCGTAGATTGGTGCCCCGCGATTGCCCCTCATAGACGCGCTAGTGAGGCGGAGGGAGCGCGTGCAGCTGCGCTTTCCTTTGGGCGTTCTCTCACTTCTTTCATCTCAGACACTTGGGAACAATATATCTACTAACCTCTCATATTTAGAATGCCAGCGACAGAGCTACCGGTTTGTCACAGTCTCTTCGCATGTATACCCACCCGCCTTACAATGAGCTTGCATCTTCCTGCTCGATCGATCACACCAATACACGCGTGAAGTATCTGATGCATTATAGCTTGATTCAAGAACCAAAGCTGTCCCCATCTGTACCTAGGTAGCGCACGCATCCGTTACCTTATTAACAATCTGTAGGCAACGCACTGTGTGTGCAGGCCACCACACGACGACGTCATGAGGCTGAGAGCCTGTGGTCCCACTTAGTGTCGGCTCTACTTGTTCCTCATTCCTCATTCAAGCAACTTGTCACACTGCCAATCTCCAGCGAATGCATCTTCGTCCTCGTCTTCTTTGATACTTCGCTTTTCCTTTGGGCTACCGATACCAACAATCGACGATATCCATGATTGTAGCATGACGTCCAGTGCTGCATGCCCCGAAGATACAGCCTTTCTCCCGCAGGCCGAATCGTCGGACGAAGAGATGGATGTTTTTGTGAGCGATTCGGATTGCCAAGTCTGCCGAAATTTCCGGATACCAAATTCAACCCCCATCAAAACGACGTATGCGAAGTTACGGCGCACAGCAACGGATGGGTGCGAGTTATGCAAGCTTCTTCAACAAGTTAGCGAGATAGCTTGCACTGGCGAGAATACAGTTATCCGAGATACTGATGAAGTACACGCGAGTACAGAATGCTCAGGCGTAGAACAGCGCGCAGCACATCTGGACGTGAGAAGGCCGCGGAGGGATGGATGTACGTTCCAGAGGTCCCTCTACTTTCGCCTAATTAAGTATACGTCATGTACTGATACTGTAGATTGGCTTTACTATCATGCAATGTTTTACGCTGCATCAGGTAGGGCATATTTGGCCTATGAGTATATTCGAAGCGGCCGCATTGGCTGCTCACTGACGAATCGTAGGGGACAGCTGCCCTTGGCCTTTCATGCGGCCGAATTACATCCCCGATGAGAGCGCGAGCATTCAGGACTGTGTTCCCTCAATTCGTCGCATGCTGGACACATGCGATACCAGCCACACCACCTGCAAAGCCAATGACCCGCGACTAATCTCGAGAGGCTTGGTGACGCCTCAGTTCATCCCAAAGCGGCTACTCCATGTCAGCGGTGACTGTGTGCCTTTGCAAGTCCATTTGTACGAAACAATGAGTGATGAGACATCTTTGAAAGCGGCTGATATTCGATATACCGCTTTAAGCCACTGCTGGGGCTCTACCCCGGTCATCAAAACCACGACTGACACAATATCTGGATTTAAGACGGAAGGTATTAATTGGCTGCATTTATCCAAGACGTTCCAAGAGGCTATACTGTTGACGCGCGAGCTCGGTATCGACTATATATGGGTTGATTCCCTGTGTAAGTACCATCGACATCTATAGCGCATTATCGTTTTTACTGAGATGTCCTCCCGTGAAAGGCATTTTACAAGACTCTGTGGACGACTGGGCTCATCAAGCTTCTCAAATGGCCGATGTTTTCTCGAATGCATACCTTACGATTGCCGCATCTGCGGCTAAGAACGGACAACAAGGACTACTGAATCGTCGTCGGAGTCTTCGAAAGGTCGAAGCATCTCACAATGACGAGACTTTTGTTGTATGCGTCAGAGGCTCGATATCGCACGAATTTATAGCATCCTGCGATCTCCCCTTTGCATTCCCTACCGACTTACCCTTACGGAGGCGTGCCTGGTGTCTCCAAGAGGAACTGCTCTCTAGGCGGATCGTTCATTTTACAGCGGACGAGATGGTCTTTGTCTGTCGTGCAGCAACAACTTGCGAATGCGACCCTCGTTGGGTACCTCGTTTTCCTTTACCTCAAGTCATTGGCCATGATCCAGCTGACGATCACCCTGAATGTATATGGTATGCTGACCCGGAGGTCTGGAACAACATTGTGGCACACTACACAGCACGCCAGATCAGCTTTTGCAAAGATAGGCTTCCGGCACTATCTAGTCTGACGCATTTCTTCGAAGAAGTCGAAGAGAACTCGGGCCGATATCTTGCTGGGCTTTGGGAATCCCATTTGCCAGGTAGCTTGCTTTGGTGGAATGCTTGCGGTTACCGCCCCGAACCAGAACATTATTCCGGATCTATGCCACCATCCTGGTCTTGGGCATCGACGGAATGTACAGTACGCTATCCTGGCCTGGAGTTTCGCAAAGAAGATTTTGCCGAAGTCCTTGACGTTCGTACCTATCCCAGTTCAGTCGATCCCAGAGGTCTAGTGTCTGGGGGTCATATTACCTTACGAGCGCCGTTGTTTCCGTTGAAAGGGACATGGGAAGACCGCACCAATGCGTGGGAAGAATTTCTGATATACCACAGTGGCAGCCAATCATTCGATTGGTGTGTCACTTGTAGTCCCGACTGGCCCCCGAAAGCCGAATGGTCTGGGGACAACGATTGCTACTGTGTGCTCGACGACCCGGACAGCCCGGAATTGCTGCTCCCGAACCATGTCATCGGTGTGCCAATATTCCTCTTGATCATTCGTACAATCTACGAACCCGACCCCAGTGAAGAGGGCCGCATTCCTTATTCTGAAGGCTACCAGTTTCTGGGCCTGGTGCTCAAACCGCTCGAACACCTCGACCAGATCCAGGCAAAGGCAATGGAGAATTCGGAAAGCAAGCTTTCGTTTGTGAGGGTCGGGTTTGGCATGATGCATCTGAGCGAAGAGGACGGTGAGGAGGCACTTCACCGCTTTGGGAACACGACTGTAACTATCTTTTGACTGCGGATTTGTACTTCACGTTTCACATTCAACTTTGACTACAACTCCTATCCCGTTTCCACACCATACATGGATTGAAATGATAAGGAAATGGCAAAATGTACAAGTACACAGTCAAGCTTTACGCTATAGAACCATATAGTGTATGCGTTGGTACAAGTCTTCAATCAGATCCTTTCACATCTCCACCTACCTCTACCCCTCCTCAAGGCAACCCCCTCCCACTATTAACCGCATCCGCCAACATACTAGTCCCGGGCCTATTCTCCGCATACCGCTCATAACTATCCAAATAAAGCTCATCCGTACTCGTCGTCATCTTCACGCTCCTCTCCGCCTCAATCGCATCAATCCACCTCTTCCACCTACTCCCTTCTTCCGCCTCAGGCCACCCCCTATACGGACCCAACACGCGCCTTAACCGCAGAACCCAGGGCGCTATCTGCACATCCACGAAGGAGATGTGCGGACCAAGAAAGAAAGGCCCGGTAGCATCCGCGGCATCAACGAGTTTCCCGATCTGATCCCTCAGTTCCTTCGCGTGAGACACTTGCTCGCCAGCGTCTTGACACTGAAGTAATTTATAAAACCACGGTATAACATTCCGATTTACATGGTCGGCCCAAAGACGCGAGGTAGCACGCGTTTGCGCATCAGGCGGCAGGAGGTGGGGTCCAGCTTGCAGGTCCTCGAGATACTCCATTATAACGGTTGATTCATGGGTCGACCATGTAGGGCCGTGGCGCAGGGCGGGGACGAGACCGCGCGGGTTGACGTCGAGGAGGGATTGAGGTTTCTTGTAGGGGTCGACTTCGATGTATTGGTAGGGGATTTGCTTGTGTTCTAGGGATATCCAGACGCGTTGGACGAAGGGGCTGGTGGGGGGTTAGTTAGTTGAATGTGGGAGGTGGAGTTGGGGAGGTATGGCTTACCAGAATGCGCTGCCGTATAATTTTAGGTCATCTTCTTTGGAGTGGTTCTTGACTGTTATCAAGGCATTGCCGGTGGCTTTTTTGTGGTACGTTTTCTTGGATGGATCTCCGCCCTGGTTGGTGTCGGTCATTTTGGATCGAATGGTCTCACTACTGATTCGCAAAGACGGTGTTTGGAATGAAGAAAGGGTTGAACAGAATGTAGTCTTTGAGATGATGGAAGGACGAGTGCAGGGATATGGTAAAAAGCAGGGCAATGTGCGAAGTTTACAGGAAGAACTCATGGACAATGTCGGAAACTTAGGATCAGCTAAGAACCAAGCAAGCTGTCTTAAATGACTGCAGCTTGAGCGATGGGCATAGTCGGTGTTCCAAGCATGCATCAAAATGACGTATGCGCTTGATCTGCGGGCAGTGTGGATCGCCATTGCATATCATCATGGCTAGATGGGTCGGTGGAACGGGAGAGCGGAGTATGAGATCAAGGAAAGAAGTGAAGCTTACCTGCGATCTCTTCCTGTCGTCTTTGTCGATTTTGGCCTGCCACCTAATGACACTATTCTTCTTCACACGGTCACTCTCCTCAAGCGAATGCTTATGTGGTCCGGCAACGCCATCGCCTTTGCCATTCCCGCCATTTCCATTCACCCTCTGGAATGTATAGAACTTCTTTGACGGAGCGCCGGACGAAGGAGCGTACTCTGGCATGTTCATGGCTGGCTGAGCGCTCATGTTCGGAGGCATATCCCAACCCCCAGCCGGTTGTTGCGGCAGTAGCGGCTGCTGCCCAAAGAACTGCGGGTTCTGATTCTGACCCGTCCGATTGGGGTTCAGCGGCATAGTCGCTGCTACCGGGCTCGGCGGATCGTTCTCTGTGCCAGGTGGTCGTCGACCAAGTTGTTCCTCGTACTCCCGTCGATCGAAGAACTCGGTGATCTTGATCTTGACATCGCACAGATCCCGCTCTCTTGCGACCCTCTTCCTCTTCTTCTTGTCTGGATCTGTGGACTTCTTGGTACCGGGTGGGCGCCCTTTGAGTCGACAATCCCAGTAGTGTGATACGAAGCGTTTGCGTTTATGCCGCTGGGTCGAGCGATGCGAGTAGACGTTGTCGATGTGAGGGAAGTAAGTTTGGAACCTGAGACGGAAGTCAGCGCATACTTTTGAGTAGCCAGGGAGTCGTCATACTGCTCTTCAGTCAGAGTGATCATGTCGTCAACATGAAACAGTCTCTCTCTCCATTCTTCCAAGTCTGGTGGATTGGATATGAGCTTCAAACCCTGGAACTGGCCATGGTTGGACAACGGAGTGTCGTCGCTATCGAAGGATCAGTAGGGGGCGCTTTATCGCTACGCTCAAGCCAACGTACCCATCCTGGCTCTCCTGCTTATGCAGCAGAGGTGCTGGTTCTACATGGCGTGGCAGTGGCTGCGGCGCTGCGAGTATTGGCGGTGCAGGCGGCGGGAGAGGAAGTTGCTGGACCGGTCGTTGTACCGTCTGAGAGGATGCGTGATACTGTTGCGCGTGTTCTTGAAGCGGGGGAGGGGGCGCGTTCATGAATCGCGGACTCGTGCCATGCTGATAGCCCGCCGGCTGGAATGGCGGGTACGGCCCTGAAGGCGGGAGCGCATGTTGCTCGAAATGTACGGGCAGCGCATGCGACGGTGGTTGTTGGTGCGATGGCCCGCTCAGGGCGTACTGCTGTTGGTATACATCGCTCGTGTGGAGGTTCTGCAGCTCGGGCAAGACCTGATTGTGGGGATATAGCGTTCCGTCGGGCGACTGGTGTAGCGTCTGGAGAGCGCCAGGGTGCAGTGACCGGAGCTGCTGGAGGACAGGCGAGGAGGCCTGTTGCATGATGGCGCCGGTGTTGGACGCTGCTTTAGCCCAAGCCGTTTTCGTGAAAGATGCAGGTCCACCGTCGATCCGGTATCCGAGTAGTTAGGGTTGGCGAGGATTACAGGTGTAGACACATTCAGCATGGAGAGCACCTGTATTGATGTCGCGAACGCGTGTTGATTACTTCTTTGTCTGATTCAGCACTCTATGTGGCAATGGTCGCTCCGCACATGCTTAGGAGAGCTTTCAGCCGCCTAGCTGAGCAGCGTCTGTTTGAACATCAACGCTTTTGCGGCACTTCCAACTTTTGGCATCGGAACACATGGGCAAACGCTAGAAATGCCCCTTCACATAATCATCGTGGTCCTTCCATCTAAAAGATCAAATCCAGTCCCGTCAAAGGGACCGCTAACCCGCAACGCCATGCCCATGCCGTGACGAAGAGAAGCATAATCATGAAATACAGCCACGTCTACCAAATCTACTCTCCAGGAAGAAGGTTGCTCTTGACAGCAAACATCTTGGAAGTGACGCCTGCCGTGAAACCGTCCACCTGCCTCGAGTATTGCTCCACCTGTCTTGAGTTGAGGAGCGTCTCCAGTCGGCTGGGTTCCTGGGGCAGCTTGAACAGCCTCTGCCACTCGTCTTCGGGGAGGAGAGGTTGCTTTGAGGCTGTGCGCGCCGCGTTCTCAGCCTTGCGCTTTTGCTGCCATGCAGTGATCTTGGTCTGCTCACGAGCGAGCGAACGCTGGTAGTACTGGTAGTTGTTGATCTCTGTGTGGTGGTTCTCGATGCTCTCAAGAAGCAAGTCGCACGTCTTCTCGAGGAAGGGGTCGATGGAGAGGTCGAGCGAGTCGTAGTTGGGGAAGAGCGGTGCCTGGGGGGTGTTTGGGTCCTGCTGCAAAGCGGCTAGGTTGGGAGGGAACTTGAGCTCCTGCTTGGGCGCGTCGGAAGGTAGCTGGTGGAGAAGCGAGGTGAGGAGGTGGGAGTTGCGGATGGTGACTGGAAGCTCGACTAGGATGTCGTGGTATCGGAGACCACTCTTCTGGAGGCTGGGATTGTCAGTTTCCACCTTTATGTAGAGTCGTTTATACATACCTCTCAGTGGTGAACTTGCCCTCCTTGTATGCTGTCACGAAAGAAGGCGAGAGCCTGTATGCGCGCAGGTTCAGGGTACCCTGAGAACTCCTGCTCACGTCGTAGATCAAAGCGACGGTCCTCTCGTTTGGCTGACTCTGGTAGAAGTACTGGTTCTCGATCGTGTTCAGGTTGACGAAGTTGCCCATGCTTGTGCTTGTGTACCAGCCGACGTTGTTCGCGTCCACGTTGACCTCTCGGAGGAACTTGATCATCTCGTTTCCGTATGCGATATTCTGCTTGGCGCGGGGAGCACCAGCGGCGAGGTTTGCGACGGTATCGTTTTGGCCATCGGTCTGCGCGGCAGCAGAGACTTCGGGGAAGGGGAACGAGTTTGTGATTTCTAGGACGCCGTTCTTCTCCATGCCGACAATGCTTCCGGTCGCGAGCGAGGGGAACGACTTGCCGCTTGCGGTAGCGATCTTAATCGCGACCTGAGGACTATAGTCAGTCTCTCATAGCTACACCAGGCTTCTATAACGGCTTGTCTCCAGCACAATGGCGGGGCGCACAGTGGGGTACTGGCGCTGCACTTTTCCTACGTACCAGGGCGTCGATCTGCACTGTCTTGAACAGCGCATCTTTCTGGGTGTCCGCCATCGTGAAGTCGTCGAAAAGGTCGGGGTTAACGTTCGGCGGGGGTAGAAGGCGATAGGCGTGCGTCGTTGTCAGGAAGCAGATTTCGGGCTCCAGTGACTCTGCCAAGATTCACCTCGCTTACAGCACGCTAGCCACATCGGACTAGCTCAGCAGTAGGCCCGGTCAGCTACCTCTGCTTGGAATGAAGATAGCCGTGGACGCGACTCCCTGATATTGATAATAAGGCCGAAACCCTATACACTGTCACTATTATATAGGTTCCGACTCATCCGCTGCATAAGGGACAGCTCACAACTCCAGTCCATCTCAACACCAACATCGAAGCCAACAACATGCCCTACAACAAGTACGGAGAGAAGATGCGACATCGTTTTGACCCGTCTGAAGACATTTGTTACTCTTCCATTCCCCGTCCTGAACTCGTTTTCTACAATCCCGACACGAAATTCTCTCAACTGCGCATGAAGATCATGTCCAAGCCAAACCCTATTCCGGACGATGCGAGTCTAGTAGTCTTCATTGACGGCGCGTGTCGCAACAACGGCCGACCGACAGCGCGGGCTTCATACGGCGTCTACTTCGGTCCTGACTCTCCTTTCAACACATGGGGTCTACTTGACGAGTCTCAACCTCAAACGAGCACGCGTGCAGAGATCGAAGCTTTGATTCAAGCGCTTCTCAGCATTTGTGTAATCATGCACTTTGATCGGACACTCTGTCGCATCAGAATTGCGACCGACTCAAGCTTCTTAGTCAAAGCTCTGAGCCAGTGGATGGAGGGCTGGATGGAGCGTGGCGGGGTCGGCTCCAATGGTAGTCAAGTCGCGCACTTCAAGATCATGAAACAGTTGTACGATGAGCTGAATAGCTGGGAAGATAAAGACGAATGGGGTGTTAGAGAGATACAGCTCTGGCATGTACCAAGGGAAATGAACCGAGAAGCAGATGCATTAGCGAACAAGGCTCTCGATGAAGCATGAGCTGTACACAAACAAGTAGTACTAATAACTGTTGATGCTTATGCCAATGCAGTACAAACAACAACGCCCTACGCAAATGCAGTGGTATCCAAGAGAACGTGCTAAATGTGAATGCAGCAATCCCTCCTCCTTTCCATCCAAAACGCCATCTCTTATCAAGCCATATCCTGATCCGAAGCACCTTTGCCTGCTTCGGTGTTTCCAGGAGGCTCCAATTTCTGTTCCTCCTTCGCTTCCTCATCTTTGATCTCCACGACTTCGGTAGAGACACACGGGGCTCCTGTCTCGACAGCTTGTTTCCTCTTTTGGTTGTTGTATGGGTTCCATCGGGGTACCACGGGTTGTCGCTGGGGTTTGCGATTATTTGCTTTCGGGTTCTTCGCAATCGACCCATCGTCCATGCGCATCCACTCCGTATCCTCGTTATCAATATGATCCGAGATCTCTGCATCGTTCTCATCTTCCCAGATCATCAGATTGGTCCCGTTAATCTCAATTGAGCGGCCTCCGGTGCGTGGAACGAAGAAGACGTCCGGCCCAGCCTTGCTGAAGTCTTGCTCCCATGTTTCTTTCTGCTGTAGCTTGAGGATATAGTCCATGGGCAATGCATATAGAACATTGTCGTCCTTGTCGTAAAGTTCCTTGAGCGGGTAGTCCAGACAAGCGAGCCCGAATTTGCAGTCGATCCGGCTAGACAGAGGGTGTATGCGCCCACCAAAGATCTTGAGTTCGAAAGCGATTCCACTCTCCGTCCACATATTGTCGCCAAAGAAAACTTCAGGTTCGGAGAGCAGTGGGTGGTCGTGATGCGGCCCAGATACTTCACAGAAGTGTGCAACTTCATGGGCCAGACATGTAGCAAGGAACATGTTATATCGCAGTACCATCGCCGGCTCCCGATATCGTAGCAAACTGAGCTTCTTTGCAGTGGTATAGAAATCCGAATGGAGGCAGATGCGACTCGTATGGCACTTGTGATTGATCTTCCGCATCAAACCGTTCTTGTAATCTTTGACGAGACCCATCGATGCATATGCAGTCTCTGGTGGTAGAGGATCGTGGTGGAAGTAGAAGTGGACAGTGTCGATCTGATTATCCAAAAAGTTCTTGAATGTTGCGTGGTGCTCTTCAGACCATGCTACGTCCTCTTTGATGCGAAAACAAGGCTGACCATATGCGGCAGATGTCTCCTCGCAGGCCTCCCTCTTGCCAAATACCAGAGTGTGCCAGAAGTGAGCGGTGGCCTGAGATGTCAAGAGCAAGGTGGCTAGTTGCAAAGCCGGTTTCAAGACCTCGTAGATTCCATCCGGACATCCGTGCCAATTATCCAGACGGAAGATAGGATGTATCTCGTTGTCTAGCGTGCAGACAGGTGCGGGGACGTCCTTTCCAAATGCTACAGCTTGTTTCTTGATCAATTCGACTGGATCAAAACCAAGCCTGACGGGCTTCTTCTTGGTCGCGTCTTTGCGATGTCCGAGTAACCTGCGGTACTTCTCTAGCGCCTTGCGATCCTCTATCTGAGCGAGATGGTGATTTATCGAGATGCTGAGCTGCAGCCCGAAGTCCTTGGGTACTTCGATCGTCGAAGGAGTGAACGAAAGAGACTTCTGATAATTCAAGACGTCCGGCAAATCATGAACCAGCTTGTCAATGCATTCATCCATAATCTTCCCCTCTTTGAGCTTGTGTAGGAGCACTGCGTTCTCGCCACGATCTTCGGCCTGCAGATCACCATCTCCACCACCAGGTAGAAGATGACGCATCTTTCTTGACAGAGTTGGGGGCGGTCCGCATTCTGGAGGTGGAGTATTCGATTCCGTAGGCGTCCAGTCCATGCTGTCCGGATCTTGCTCCTGGAAGGCGGCTTCTGGTACATCGCCATCGTCATCGACTGTGCCTTCCTCATTGAGCTGAACATCTTGATTCAGACGTTCTTCGATGAGTTGCGTCGTATGCACCATGGCCTCATACGCCTTCCGATATCTAAAAGGGTCCATTCTGGCGGGCGTCAGTATCCTGGAAGGGTTGGGCCGAGGTGGTTGCAAATTCGATCCAGCTTGCGCTCAAACGTGGCAGAAGCGAAAGTGGTGGAATTAGGTAGCAGTCACGTCGAAGATGATCCAATCATGGGGCTGCCTTGTTGTTCTGCACCAGTGCGTTGCGTGGCTGCATCAGTCGAGGAACAATGTCTCTTCCTACGTGCCCTGAATGGATATGTCGCGCACTTCGATCCCGACTGAGTCGCAGGGAGGAGGCAAAGTGTCCAACACCTGCCATCTCACCGAGCTTGGCTATGCAGCGTAGGTGTGGATGTTTCGGCTGCTTAGAGGGAAGTCTGGAGTGGGGTATTCTTACTAAGTCGACGAAGCGGTCAACACCCGCTAAGCGATAGAAAGGGGTCTATCCAAAAATTAAAGCTAAATGATGGAAAATGAGGGTAGCGTTGAGTTCGTGTATCAGCGAAGAGAACGAACGGTGTGCCTGGATGAGCTGTTTACGCGCTAGCTTCTATGGGCGCCAAGGAATTACGCCGCTAGCTTTTCGTCACCGGTTGACGCACGTCACACTCCTGAACGGCATCTCATCGTCATTCCAGCCATGACAGCGTTGTCGCATCAACATCGCCGTCAGCTCCGGACGTTCCGCAGATGGTGATTATGGCCACCAATGCTACGAGCCACCCGGGCCACTCACATCACGCAGAAGTGCACGAGCGATGTGCTGCTGTCGCGACCCTGCCCAGGTATCCAGACCGTGACAACGACGAAAGTCCTAGAGGAATGCCGTATAGCTGACTAGAGATTGCTTTGGTGACTTGATCTTGCCATTTCTCATGGATCCCAGACGACGTGCAAAGGCTGATCGAATCGACGGGAAAGCGCGCCGAGCTTACAGCCGACCGCGAAGCATATGAGCCAGCTGTGTCGGCTAAGAGAAGTCGACTTGGAATTTTAATTGAGAAAAACGAAGCCGGACGCTTTCATACCTGCAGTGGTGCGCTCCCACGGAAACTGCACTCTCTAGTGTTCAGATACGATGACTGCCTTACCAGCTATACGAGCTCTTCTTCGATCTCGACATCACAACCCACCTACAACGATCATCACCAAGCGCACAGGAAACCCCAAGTGCTTGTGTGCCATGGTCGCATATTCAGACCAAGAAGTTGAGTGCTTCATATTCTGCGTCTGACGAGAGGATACAGTCTTTGCTCCAACCTTCGCGATACTCATGCGAAGGCGTCATGGAGAACTATACAGTCTGAGGCTTTATGCTCCAATCTTGGCCTTCGCAAGGGGCCGCGTGGGTGCATCGCAGCAACATTGAGCGACCGCGGTCCGTGGGCTGGGTAGTGGGGCGGTCGTATTGCTGTTGGGGTGTTGCCGTCCGCAAGAACTACATGGTATGGAGCTTTGAATCGGATACCTTTTGCATATGCACAATCGTTGAGAAGGTAAGGAACGTAGTAACCTGTAAACAGACAATCGGAGAGCGCCGACGCGGAGCATGACGCACGTCCTTCGCTTTCGGATGGTTAAGAGCGCTGGGCGCTCCCTATTGGACGCTTCAAATTTAGATACCCATGCCGGGGTTTTTCATTCTCCGCCTCATGCCTCTCCACACAACTCCGCGCTAGGATCCAGATTTGGGGGCGAAAGCAATCAACTCGGTGCGTTTCTGAACGCGCCGAGTCAGAAATCACCGACGGCATTGCATGATCACGATAAAACAACGTCAAGAACCATGGGATGAAAATTAGCCACGAAGATCACCATATCAAGAATGCTTTCGGGAGTTGCACTAATCACAGAAGCCGGATCTGGTACGTTTTCTTGTTGCTATCTTTGCATTTTTATGGCTTGCACAAAGTTTGTAGCAAAGGAGATAGAAGGCTAATACTACGTTGCAGGCTTCGGCCAAAGCGCCGCATACTCGCTGGCCCGCAATGGTGTTCAACAATTTGCTCTTGTCGACACCAACGAGGCTGGACTGCAAGAGACAACGCAGACGCTAGCATCGCAGTACAAGGTGACAGACGTGCTGAGTGTCTCCACTCCATGCAGTACGGAAGAGTCCGTCGAGGCTGTCGTTCAACAAGCCGCGTCACGCTTCGCTCGTATCGATTTCGTCATTCTGAATGCCGGTTTCGGTGGGCCCATGGGCGGCAGTCCCGACACGGCACCCGCCGCATTCGATACCCACCTCAAAGAACACGTGACTGGTGTCTGGCTCTGGCATCGGGCCGGGATACGGCAAATGCTGCGGCAGGAGCCGCGCGACTCGCGATATGGCCGTGGCAGTATCGTGCATGTCTGCTCAGTGCATGCCTTTGCCGCTTCACCCCCTCAAGTCGCTGCTGGTGCATATGTAGCGGGTCGACATGCTATCCTCGGTCTGACACGCTCTGAGGGCGTGCTGTATGCACCCCAGCAGATACGTATCAATGCGCTCTGCCCTGGGTACATCATGTCGCCGCTCATCGCGTCCTCGGAACAGACCAAGGCTTTCATCGATAACCTCGTGCGAGAGCGTGTGCCTGCAGGCCGGCTTGGAGATGCTGAAGAGGTTGCCGATGCTGTTGTGTTCTTGGCTGGGCCCATGAGCAGCTACATGTTTGGTCAGTCATTGGTACTGGATGGGTATGTATTGTTCAATCTTTACGTGAGAAACCATGAAGCGCTGACTGGTGATAGGGGCTATTTGGCTCAGTGAGGAGCCACGATGCTGTAGGATAATAGGAGATAATACATACGTACCTCAACTTCTTGTCGCGAAGACGAACATCATACCGAGAGCATGTGAAATGCTTTCTCCCAATGGTTCAACACATTATTCTTGGGTATAGTGCTAACACAGATTGCTTGCCGCACCGTTGCTCAGCAGTGAGCGCGCTTTGAGACGGCCGATACATGCGCGCACTAGACTGAGATTTGCGCGGACGAGGTCAAGACAAGCTGGCGCAAAAGCCGCTTTCCCGTTGGGCGTTCCATTCGCCC